GGGGCGGGGGGAGGAAGAAAAGCAGATTTTTATCAAGTAATTACAAATTTTTTAACAAACACTTTTTACCTCTTTACCATTAGCGTTCAATAAAAATAAGAGACTCAAAGTTTGGCTTGGCACTTGTGATAGAGAGTTCTCAGCAGGTAAGAAGCTTTAATGGCCTCTTTTCACTGGTTACATTTTTATATATATAATAGTTCTATAATTCTGAAATGTTACAGGGCTACTTTTAAGGTACTAAAGAGTGTTCCTTCTGTGTGGCCTTTCAAACACAACTTTTAAAAAAGTCCTCTTTAAACTGGTTAAAATGTCTGTATGTTAAGGTCAATATAGTTATTGTGAGTTACAGTTTCTCTAAGCAAAGCAACAACAGGCCAGCATGACTCGTTAAAGTAAAATAAATTAAAAACAGTGTCTTCTGACAGATTATTTTTGGGATCTAACCACTTCTATACTTAATCAAGACCACTACTTTTAATCTTTTTCACTTGTATATCTCTTTTCCTGTGAGAGACAAAATTACTTTTCTCCAATTTGACCTTAATCATAAATGCTTTTAATGGTGATTTTTTTAAAGTTCAACTAACTTTATTTACTGTATCTGAAAGCTTCTTTAATAACAACATCAAGATCTAACAGACTAAACATTTGCTGAGTAGCTAGGAATAAATAATTAGTATCACTTCTGAATTTCTCCCATCCTTGTTTGCTTTTGTTTTCTTGTGTAAGAAGTTTATTCCCCATTTATATAATGGGCTAACAGTTAAAATCTTATCTACCTCATAGAAATACATTGTCATTGTTTTTATTTCACCCATGGTTTAAGTGGCAGAATGAAAATAAAATAATACCAAAATACAGATAATGTTTTATCAGCAAACTGAAATTTGCTGTCATCAAACTGCAAATCTATACCAAGGGGAAAAAGTTGTGCAAATAATAAGTAACATTCATATGTCTTCTTTTTTCTGTGTTATGTAGAGTGGAGGATATGTACTTGGTTTTAAAATAGACCCTGTGGAGAAACTACAGGAGGCAGTGAAAGAAATTAATTCACTTCACAGAGTTTATTCAGCTAACCCTATATTTGGAGTGGATTATGAAATGGAAGAAAAGGTACTCCACTCATTTATTTTAAATTAGATACAATATTGTATTAACAGCAGTAATAAAAATATATTAAACATATTAGATATGTGGATTTACTTACTTCAGTGTTTTAATTTGCAGCCTCAACCTCTTGAAGACCTGACAGTGGAGCAGGTTCAAGATGATGTGGAAATAGAACCTGATGAACATACAGATGCTTTTGTGGTAAGCTGCTCCACAGAAAACTGAAAAATAAAATAATTCTTGTTTGGTTATTCAAATGTAAGCAATGTACAGCTGTAATCCTCTATTAAAGATAAACTACAATTGAACTTTCTATTTTTAAAACACACCTACGCACCTCTTATTAAAAATCCTGATTAGTACAGGAATTTATTCTGCGTATGGAATTTTAACTTATGAAAAAACTATGATTCCAAATAAATAGTAGTAGATATTTAAAGTAATAGTTACATGTAGTTTCTCAACACATTAAAATCAGGAATAGCTTAAAAACCAGCAGTATAATGTAATCAAATACACTGTAATAAAACAAATCTTCCTTCTCTTGGAGCAGATCAATGGGTGTTGATATCTGTACACTTGATATTCATCTAAGATTCAAACTTGAAGGATTTTTAGAAAGGCAGCAATAATTGTGAGTCACTCCTGACAACCTTTGCACTTGTGACAATATCAGTTTAGAAAACTGTATTAATATCTGTCTCCCAGTATTTCAGGAGAATTTACTTTTAAATGCATTAGGTTGTTTGATGACCTTTCTAGGAATTTACAAATCTGCTGTGCAACCCAGTAACACCTGACTGCATAGGTAGACTGCACATGTTTCCAAGTGACACATTGACAATTGACATGTTTTCTTAATTCCTCTCTGAAATTTAGTAAATTAGCAGTGCTAGCACCAATCTTATTTCCACTTTCTTTTCTTTTGCAATCATTTACTGACGCAGATAAGCTCTTATCTCTTCCTTTCCCTCCTTTTTCCTCACTTTTTGCCTTTTTTCTTTCCATTTTTGCACATTTTTATTCAGTCTTCAACGTAGTTGAGGACCTACCTTTTCCTTAAAAGAAATGACACTTGACGACTACAATGCTATTCTGTAGTCTTGTATAGCTTGAGATCGAGATGGGCCGCAAAACACTTTCTTTGCTGCCCCTCGCCAGTCCATAGGGGCAGCTGAAGCTCAGGCTCTCTTTGGTAAACATGAAGATCTAGAGCCTGCTGGTCCACAGACTTCTAGAGCTGTGGATATTTTCAGATATGGGATTTCCTGAAGAGTTTCAGCTTTAATTTACACACACACAGAATGGGGAAGATTGTATCTCTTTCCTAGGTCTCTGTTTGAGAGTAGAAAAATTTGGTTAATTGTTCAGTTACTCTGCTAATTTCTTAGATTGAGTATTATGTTGAGTGAATTTTGATATTGCTTATACATTTTAAGTTAGCTTTTGAAATTGAGTAATAAATGCTGCTGCACATGAGGCAAAAAATTGTAGGGTGCTGTCAGTTTGCCTTCATATTAACATTTTATTCCCTATAAAGTGTTTGCCAGTGTAACAATTGTAATATGAAAAATTTACCATTTACAAATCTTTGTTTATTGTGATAGAAAATTCTAAGATTGGTATTTAATGAAAATAACATAATCACCAATTGCTGTTAGAACCCTTTTGTAAATTATGTCAACACAGAAGAAACTCTGGTCTTGTTTACAAAACAAAAATAAAAACCATACAGACTGGTCTGTTGAAGAAAACTTACCAAATACAGTTTTGACCCAAAGGAATTATCATCAGATTTGGGTTTAGACTTTTTTTTTCCAAGCTTGTGAATTCTTTTTTTCTTTCTTTTGCAGGCTTACTTTGCTGATGAAAACAAGGTAAGAACATATTTTTTCCTACTATGAAATTAATGTTGTTAAAATGGGATAAAAAAAATTAAAAGTACCTTCTGTTTTATTTCATTTTCTCTCATATCTTGTGCATTGAACAAAGCAACATGATCGGGAGCCCGTTTTTTCAGAAGAACTAGGACTTGCGATAGAGAAGCTAAAGGATGGATTCACACTCCAGGAACTCTGGGAAGTAATGACCTGATTTAGTTTGGCACAAGTTTGTTTCCTAAGCAAGGGAAGACTCTCGTTTCTTACTGGTCTTGTGAGATCTGTAGAAGATAATTTAGAAATACCAGAGTAGCACAGAAAGAACATGCCAAAGCTAAAGAGCAGGCAAATATATAATATGCCCTCAAGATACGTCATAAAGGAAAGATTATTCAAAACCCTCCTGTGTGTAAAAGCTTTGTCTTTATTACGTTGTTTCTGTCAGTAGCAGGAAGACAACCAAGATCTCATACAAGAAGGGGCAGGGCCCCAGCTGCTGGTGGAAGCCCTGCATCCTGCAGGCAGTCACATGCTCCACAAGCCCCAGAAGTCCCACCTTTCCTCTGGTCACATGGTGTAAGGACCAAGCAGCCTGTCTGTCAGGCTAGAAGGACCTGGAAGTTCCTCCCCACTACATGCGTGGTGGCTGCCATTTTATTTCAGCTGCCATTATGTAAGATGTCGTACTCCACCTTCTCATACTGCTTTGTGATTGACACATTCCTACCCCAGGTCTTTTCACGCACGTGATTGGCAGGACCAGCCACCCCATCCTGCTTCCCCCAGAAGGTTGTCAGAGCAGGAAGCCCCCTCCCCTAACAACACAGGGTCCACCATAGTGTTTCAGCCACCATTTCATGGCAGATAGCCACCATTGTTGGCTTTTTTACAATTTCATGACCCATGTGCATACATACTGCCCTGTGATTGGCTGCCAGGACCAGCCACCGCCTGCCATTCTTCCTGAAAGTATGTCAGAAAAGGAAGCCTCCTCTTCCTGTGTATGCAGAAACAACCGTTTGAGCTAGGGCAGTGTGTGATATGTGGTTTGATGCTCAAATTGAAGTATTTGTGTATGTATACACAGGGATGTACTTTTCCATAACGATTATCTCTAAATCAGATTTCCATAACTAGTTTAATATTGTTCAACGTAGAAATATCATCATATGCAGAACATTTGGTATCTAGGCATATTGGCTATGTCATTGCAGCGGTGCTGTTACTGTTCACTTTTGACAAAAAGCAATACTGTTCCAAATATTAGTTTCCATGTTTCATAATTTTGTTAAATGATCAGCACATATCATTCCAGGTACTAAATTGTAATCCAGATATTATACTGTTTTTTTTCTTGGGCTTGTTTGGGTTTTTTCCCTGGCTAGAGCAGTTTTTTTAAGGAATGATGTAGAAAAAAAGCTTCTGTGTCTGAGTCATTAGACCTTTACGATGTTATGTGTTAAGAGAGAAATGAGTCATTTATTGTTTAAAGGAAGATGCAGCTGTTACGTTTTCTAGTGAGATAAGACCTCTGCGCTATTTTCTGTAAGTGGAAAAAGTCAAATGAGCTCCCCTCTCAGCTGTTGTTTTAGCAGCTGACTGTTATAGTAAAGTAACTGTGGTGTGAATGTAATTGTGGTGTTTGTAGAACATCTTACAAGGTATATATTTTAATGAAATACTACCTATATTGAAAAGCAATTATTATTTCAATAAACTTCGATAGTGTTATACCTTGTTGTAGATCTTGCATTCAAATACTTGTGTTTTGATCCTGTTTCCATTACATTCAAGGAACATTTTACCATATGGGTAAAATACAGTCCTTCATCAAGGTACATTAAACAACTTACAATTTCAAAGTTGTTTTGGATCTGTATTACCACCTTTAATAAAAATGTTTCTAGTCCAAATTGTGAAACCTTCAACATATGCATAATTTTTCTAAATTTACTTAACTTTTCAAACTGCTTGTCTGATTTGGGACTTTTTTAGTTTAAATTCAGATTTTTTTTTTTTTTAGGTTTATCTAAATTACACATCCATTAAGTAATGTTAATATGGTGGATTACATGTTTTTCATTCTCTGTTCTACCTATACTGTGTACTGTTTTTGGTTTAGTTTAACAGCAGTTAACACAATTTCTAGTACAGTCAAATTTATAAGGATTGGTAATGTCTACAGATTATCTGAAATGAAGAATGGTATTTATTAAGGGGGGTGGAGACTTAATTTTAATTTCTTTTTGAAAGCAGAACTTTAATTTAATAATGTATATTTTATGTCTAAACAGTAAGGTTGTTTACAAATAAATACAACCGAATGGATATTAAGAACCTCAAAATTAATTTCAAAGCCTTACTATCAATATCTGAAGAAATTGCAGATGTGATATGAGTATGTAAAAAATAATAGTAGAGCACAGATAATTGATGCAAAGTTCTGGAGTTTTTTTATAGCTTCATGACTGCAGCAATGAGATGTATTAAGCAACTCTGAATAAGTGAACAGTAGTTGCAGGTGACAACTTGATTAATAATATTTCTATTTCAGAATATTTGGTAACATGTATATTTACAATCTTGCTCATAGCTGTCTCACTGAGGGTCAGATTCTGCTGTCCTTACTCATGTCAAATAGTTTCTTACATTGCACATACTCTCATTGATTCAATGTGGAGAATGATGGCAAAAACTGACCATAGAGACTAAAAGTAACAGTTGCTTCTTTCAGTCTTTGACAGCTGCCAGAGCAACTCTTTTTTTCCAAACCATCCATCCTAAATTCCGGCCTGTAAGAGCATGTACCTATATTTAGCTAGCGGGATTAAGTTGCAGAGGCTTCAGGCAGGGCAAAGCACATTGGTCTGCCTTTTTTACAGACAGACCTTTGGGCAGACAACAGCTCAAGCTTTCTGCTCCCTCCCCTTTCCCAAGTATTTGCAAAATGGATTCCCAAAGGGAACTGGCTGAAGAGCTCAGACTTTACCAATCCACCCTTCTTCAGGATGGCCTCAAGGAACTCCTCGAAGAGAAAAAGTTTATAGATTGCTCTCTAAAAGCTGGTGATAGAAGCCTGCCTTGCCACAGATTGATTCTGTCGGCATGTAGCCCTTATTTTCGTGAGTACTTCTTATCCGAACAAAATGAAGAGAAAAAGAAGGAGGTGGTTCTAGATGATGTTGACCCCAACATCCTGGATATGATTGTCAAATACCTTTATTCAGCAAGTATTGATCTTAATGATTCTAATGTGCAGGATATTTTTGCTTTGGCCAGTCGCTTTCAGATCCCGTCTGTATTCACTGTGTGCGTCTCCTATCTTCAGAAGAGGCTTGCTGTTGGTAACTGCCTGGCCATCCTTCGATTAGGTGTTCTGCTTGATTGCCCAAGACTTGCATTTTCTGCCCGTGATTTTGTTTCAGATCATTTTGTGCAGATCTGCAAAGAAGAGGACTTCCTGCAGCTTGCCCCGCATGAACTTATCTCAGTTATTTCACCTGACAGCTTAAACGTAGAGAAGGAAGAACTGGTATTTGAAGCAGTGATGAAATGGGTCCGAACAGACAAGGAGAACAGACTAAAGAGCCTGGGGGAAATTTTTGACTGTATACGTTTTCGTCTTATGCCAGAAAAGTATTTCAAAGAACATGTTGAGAAGGATGATATAATTAAAAGCAACTCAGACCTTCAGAAAAAAGTAAAGATTATTAAGGATGCTTTTGCTGGAAAACTGCCTGACTCTAGCAAAAGTACAGAAAAGTCAAACAAAGGGGAGGTAAATGGCGATGTAGGAGACGAAGATTTACTGCCTGGCTACCTAAATGACCTTCCCAGGCATGGCATGTTTGTCAAAGACCTAATTCTTCTGGTTAACGACACTGCTGCAGTAGCTTATGATCCTCTTGAAAATGAATGCTACTTAGCAGCCCTGGCAGAACAGATTCCCAGAAATCATTCCAGTATAGTCACCAAACAAAATCAGGTCTACATTGTTGGAGGACTGTATGTGGAAGAGGAGAACAAGGATCAGCCTTTCCAGTCATACTTCTTCCAGGTATAAGCTTTATAATGGTTCATGGAATAACAGGTGCTTATAAGAATTACTGAAAAGTATTCTGAGTCTCTGCAAGTGGGTTGTCTCATCTCTCTGTACAGTCGTTGGAGAGCAGTAGCTATAGAGAGCTATTCCTGTCTCAGAGAGATAAATGAAACCAAGGGACTTGCATCTTCTCTTTCAACATGAAGCCCCTGGTGAGACCTCGGAAAAGATTAAAGAATTTGTATATTATATCTAGGCACCGGCTTTCCTTGTTTTAAGGCTCAGATTTTTCATGGTATAGATGCCTATATTTAAGCCTAATAATATTTTTGCAAAACATCTTTAGTGAGTTTCTTCTAACTTAATTGAAAGTTGAGTGTTTAGCTGCTTTAGATCTAATTAAATGTCTCTATTTTTTGCATCTGAAATATTTTTATGACAGCAGTAATGTGCATATTTTAAATGCCACTTTTGTCACTAAAATTCCAGAAGTCCTTTTGTCACATCTACATTTGAAAACCTAAGGGCATTCTGAAATATGTAATTTAGAGGTAGAAGGTTGCTTTTGTGGAAAACTGTCAATGTCAGTACACTGTTTCATCTAAGAGCATAATTTTACGTCTTTGTAAATCTGTATAAATATAAGGCCAATTAATACAAACTGTAACTTCCACAACATATTTCAGAAAAATTAACAAAAATACAGCTTAGCATGCTTCCACCATAAACTAATTCTGTTGTGTTTTTAAGCTACTTGGCTACATGCTTTGGGGGATATTTAAACTATCTCATGATGAATTATCCAATGTGCTGCTGGCCATGCCCTGTCTTCAGGCACATTAGCCTGAAAGAGTTAAAGTAGGTCCTATTTCAATATAAAATAAAGCAGAGTGATAAGCAGTGATAGAATTTTAAAGCCTTCAGATGTTAAAAAATGCAAATATTAAGTGTTTATAGAAGTATGGCTCACTGTGATTTCACACACAATGAAAGTTGGCTTCAGGTGTTTGTTACATCTATCAGAGGGAAGTCTTAGTTTGCTAGAGAGGGATTAGCATGGTTTCATTTCCTTATGTAGGTGTAGAACACTGATCACTGAAGTGCAAAACTTGTTACAGAAATATTGTTCTAATAGAAATACTGTGTTGATGTCATAATGTATATAGTCCAGAACTGATAAGTCTCAGGCTACTAGAAAGGGGCCTCTGGAAAACGAAACGTCAAGACATATTAAAAATTGATGAAGTTTTCAGAATCCTACATTATGTCTACACCCAGTTCCTGAAATCC